TGAAAACAAGCACTTTTGTTGGGGAGATTATCTTTGCTGTTGTCATTTGCATTGCTGGGCTGGTTTTGTTTGCATTACTTATTGGCAACATGCAGGTATTTCTTGATGCTTTTCATCTACCATCGTCTTTATTTAATAAATATGTCTAAGACTGTTTCTCTTGCTTTTATAGAAATATCTGCAGTCAACAGGAGTAAGGGTTGAAGAAATGAGAGTCAAAAGAACAGATGCAGAGCAATGGATGAAACATAGAATGCTACCGCAGAACCTAAGGGAAAGAATCCGGCGGTATCAACAGTATAAATGGCAACAAACCAGAGGAGTTGAAGAAGAGAGTCTAATTAGTTGCCTTCCAAGAGATCTCAGGCGAGACATAAAGCATCATCTTTGCTTGGATTTGCTCATGAGAGTAAGAACTTTCCTAAAAGCATCACATCTCTGTAAGTTCATACCCAGCATAAGATCAGCGCTAACATTCTTTCTTCAGGTACCAATGTTTGAGAAAATGGATGAGCAGCTGTTAGATGCAATGTGTGATCGTCTCAAACCGGTACTTTACACTGAAAAAAGCTACATTGAAAGGGAGGGGGATCCGGTGGAGGAGATGCTGTTTATAATACGAGGAAATTTGGTCAGCACCACCACCAACGGCGGAATAACTGGCTTCTTCAATGCTGTTAATCTCAAAGCCGGTGACTTTTGTGGAGAAGCACTTCTTACTTGGGCCTTGGATCCTCAGTCCTCCTCTCATCTACCCATCTCCACCAGAACCGTACAGGCTTTGTCCGAAGTGGAGGCCTTTGCTCTGTTAGCTGACGACCTCAAGTTCGTCGCCTCCCAATACCGGCGTCTCCATAGCAAACAGCTCCAGCACATTTTCAGATTCTACTCCGTGCAGTGGAAGACATGGGCGGCCAGCTTCATACAGGCAGGCTGGCGGCGGTACTGCAGGGGGAAGTTTCTTAAGTTGTTAAGGGAAGAGGAAGCTAGGCTGCAGAATGCTCTTGCTGGTGACTCCGGCGTGAGCGTTGGCGCCTCGATTTACGTGTCGAAATTTGCAGCCAATGCGTTACGAAACTTGCGACAGGATGAGACTCCAAGCCCCAGAATACCGGAGCGAATGCCGCTGCTGCCTCAGAAGCCGGCGGAGCCTGATTTCGGAGCCTGATTTTACTGCTGATCAAGACCACTAAATGTTAATTCTCTGTTTTTTCAATTTTCTGTTTCATATGTGCTTGGATAAATTTGGAAGAATCTGTATAATGTTCTGGTTAGTTTAATGGCTTAATGTAAACATGTTTGTTCATCTCAAAAATTTCCAAAAGGAAAAGAATAAAGGAAGTTATTTTTTGAGTCTAACTTTTCTCAGCCCCCTGCTGTTTTCTTTTTCTGGATTTTCTTAGCAATTAGACAGTACACAAGGAAACTTGATCACATTCTTCTCCAAATCACTTACACTTTTAATATGCAGCGTTTTAATCCATTTAACGAGTAATGTTCATTCCATGAATGACACTACGTGATTCATTACATAGAAATATCTGCATCTAATACAATTCTGGAACAGAAATTTATTCAGCAATGTATTTATTTAGAAACTTTAGCAGATTTGATCTTCCATTCCCTAGCGGCATGAAGACTTGATAATGTAATATAAGCCCCGGCAATATCAAACAAGAACCAAAGTGCTAGCGCTGCATCAAAATCAAGTAAGAAGATTACAAAAACTCACCCAAAAAATGTACAAAAACCTTGAAATTGAGAGATAAAGAGGATCAAATAATAAAATGATTGGCCAAAAGAATAAGAGCATTGTCTGCTTTCAATTATAGTTGATTTGGTTTCAGTGTAAATAATTTTACGTTTGTCTGCAATTAAAT